AGGAAAGGGAAATGTCAAGGCTCCTTCAATGGGTTAATTGCTCTGCTTTGTCATCGAAAAGAAAGAAACTCTCAGAGTCAGGAACATATAGTAATATTTTGGCCCAAAAATGAGAGGTTTCTTTTTTTAAAGGCATCCTTGACCTTCATTACCTGGCTGCTATGGTCCAACACCTGACAATAATCATAGAAAGCACTATGAAATTATGAAAGACTGCCTCAAGGGAATCCAGAAAGCATGTTCTGGAAAAATGACAGAAACTACCCCCTGTCCTGTCTGGGGTGTTCCTATGTTTAGGTGGCACGTGGGCCACGTTACACTTGGGCTCAGTGTCAGATCTGATTGTTCTAGCTACAGCCAGAGCTGGTAACTAGAGCTTCTAAAGTGAATTGAGACAGTGATTAAGAACTAGTGATTATGAGTAAAGAGAAGAGAGCAGATAAAAGATCAGACTAAAAAAGGTTAATCCCTGAATTGAAAAGAAAACTTCAGAGACTGAATGTAGAAACTATCCAAGATAAAGAAGTGTGCAGGGCAGGAGACGTGGCAGTTGGCAACTTGCAGACCAAAGGAAACAAATGTCTGAGACAAAAGTGAAAGCAGAAAAAAAAAAAAAAAGAGGTTTTTGAGCATCTAGAGGTAATAACCCTAAAGATGAAACCACTGTATTAATAAGTCAGGAAATTGTCAGTTACGCCAGAATGTATTCTGAGGAATATTCAGGAAAAGCATTGCTGACCAAAGCTGGTATATTTTGGTGGCAGCTTCTGTGGTGTTTGGAGGAAGTAAAACAGAGGCTTTTGCCTGGAAATACCAGAGATTGCATCCAAAGGTCTTTGAGAAATGTTCACAAACACAAATTTGATAGCATTCTAGAGATCAACCAGTGTTTTCTTGCCAAAAAGTAAATGGCATTTCTCCCAAAGGCACGAGGCATTTGGCTCAGGAGCTAATGGGGAGAATTGTGGGAACTCAGAGCAGGAACGCCCACAAGAAAGGTTTAGTGGAATGTGAGGTGTCAAGGGAGTCTTTGAAAGTAAAGCCATGAATATATTAAGTCTTACAGTGCTTTGAGACAGAATATAATTCGGTGTACAGTGTAGAAAGTAGAAGGCTTATATTTTTATTCTTGTAAAGGATTTTAGCATAAAAGTTGTAGGAAAGAGTAGAAGCAAAACAAAACAATACCAACCCCCCCCCAATTTTTTTAAAGGGGCAATTTAAATTACGAACATCAATGGAGTATCCAGAAGACTTTTGCAGAATTCCAGATACTAATGTCATGACGCTAAACACCATAATGATTATATGGGGAAAAATCGTTCTCTGAGCCAGCCTAAACAGATTACTAACTGTTAAGTTAGACACCACCAAATAGCTAAACTCTAGGTGCAGTCTATGGCTTAATGTAAAGTGAAGAGATTTGTTTGCTGTTTTTAGAATTTATATATAGGTTTTTTAAATCCAGATAATTTTTTGAAAGATTTAAGTTATATACTTAACCTACTGCAGGAAGAAAAAAAAAAAAAAAGGAGAGATAATCAATTGGGTTTTTGTTTTTTCATTTTGGGGTTTTTTTTTGGCTTGATTAGGGTTTTGTTGTTTGTTGTTGTTTGTTTGGATTTGTTTGTTTCAAGCAATAAAACCAATTATAACTAATGTAAACAAAAAGGAAATTATTGCAAGTTTATGGAGTAGCTCTTAGAACTGAAGGAATATCTGAAGAACCAAGCACAGGAAGGCAGCATCATGGGGAGCTCCTTGGACCCAGATAGCAGAGTTTATATAATTGTCTTCTCAGGGGACCCCACTGTGGTTAATCAGCTCCAATATATTTTCCCTCCTGGCCCTTACACTCAAGATTTAAACACCCAGAGAGAGAGAGAGAGAGTTTGAATGATCTGGCTCCCCTGCTCAACACTGGTTAAGAAAAAGGGAGATATTGTTCTCTGCAGTCCCAAAGATTGCACACAGGAGAGGAGAGGTATCTCGACAGGAAATTCGGGCACTATTTTCAGAAGACGGCAGAGCAACTGCCAGGCAGTAAACACTAGCAAATATCTGCTACAGAATCCTCTAAGTATAACGTGCTTGTAGAGCAACGTTTTGTGAAAAGACTCATGCCGTGACTTATTGAAAGACCTGCTTATATTCATTATACTTTGTTTTCTTACGTATTTTATCCAGACATTATTAATGAGTTATGTTTTGTACTTAGAGGAGACTGTAGGCGTGTGTGTGGTTAGAAATGGTAATAATTTGCATAAAATCAGAATCTATTAGTCCAAAAGACTTTCAGCTATGATGAGAGCTCTGATTCTTGACTGTTTAACAAGAAATAGTAACATAATAGCAAACACCTAGTGCTTTCTATTGTCCAGGCACTGTAGGAAGCACTTTACAAATTTTATTTTGTTTAACAGGAAAGAAGTCACAATGTGACTATATATGGCAACCCTTCTGCTTTTTTAAACCATTTCTAATTTTAATCCACCTATTAATTTGTCAGTGATTCATTTCAGGTCTTTGGGGTTGATTTGAGTTGATCTCAAGATCCCCAAGTAGATCCAAAGTTCTGTTCAAAGGGTTTCTGATGTTTATGCTTTTTTAACTGAGGATTAAAAAGTCTTGCTTTATCAGGAGTGGTTTGATTATGAACCCGGACAACACATAGAGAGTAAGTGTACCACACCATGATTGTCAGTTAGAGTTTTCATCTTTTCCAGATATATGCCTGTTTCTTTCCATTTAAAGTAAGGATTCAAAACACACACACACACACACACACACACACACACACACACACACATCTAGAATTACCACATCTTGAAGAAGCCTTCTGTTCTTCTTGGTTTCACATTTCTCTACATAATACCTTGAAGTATACTTATGGTTTGAGAATCACACCTGAACCGTTTCTATTCCAGGCTCCTCCATTCTTTAACACTTAGAGCATTCTTAAAGTACGACTGAAGGTCTCTTAATGGAAAACACAATTATACACATTCAAATTCTTACAAATCTTTTACTAAGACTCTTATTTTTAATGCTAAAGTCTTTAAATTATATTCCTTCATATTACTTGAAACTATTAAAAAATGATGTCAAAAACTTGAATTATCCTGTTTATGATTTGCTTTATGCTATACATTTATTGCTGTCTCTCTTGAGAGCTATAGTGACACAGCTGTGGGTCCTTCAAAAATAGGTTGTATAATAATTCAAGATACGTTGGGTAGCCAACTGAATTTTAGTAATGAGGAGTAGGTGAAAAAGTTCCTGTCAAGGGGATGTCAATTTGGGTCCAAGAGACAAACTTTTCTGACAGTTTCTGTACAAAGCAGGGGTTACTGAGTAACTGCCCCTGTTGTTTAGTAATTGACCCCGACAGCAGTGGAAAGTTGAAGGGGGAAGCTGTGCAGAGAGTTAACAAGAAGAACCTCAAGAAACTCAAAATGTCCAGGAAGCAGGAGAACTGAGAGGCACACAGTGGAAAGAATGTTGTTTCTGCCTAGCAGCCAATTCTTCCCGTTTGGCCAAAAAAGTGTTGTGGGATTAAAACGTACAATATGACAACTTTGAGTTGCTACAAAGAGAATCAAAACTAGGAGATTTTGCTCATCTACTGGTAGGAATACCTGTAAGTCAATTTAAAGGTAGTTATTCTGTAGAAGGATATGTGTTAAAATACACCAAGAAAGCAACTAAGTATAATTTCATTCATTCACACTTGGTTCACTTTTGTTTATCTAGTTACCAAGCATTTTACCTTGGGCATAGTTGGTACTCAGCAATCCACCCATTCATTCATGCAACATACACAGCATCTATTAAGCATCTACTGTAACCTGGTGATGAGGACACAGCAGTGAGAAACAAAGCCCCTCATGGAGTTTACATACTGTTATCATTAAGATGATTGTATCCTCTGGCTGCAACCAGGGGAATCAATGATTATAAAAATGTAGTCCTCGGGCTTCCCTGGTGGCGCAGTGGTTGAGAGTCCGCCTGCCGATGCAGGGGACACGGGTTCGTGCCCCGGTCCGGGAAGATCCCACATGCCGCGGGGCAGCTGGGCCTGTGAGCCATGGCCGCTGAACCTGCGCGTCCGGAGCCTGTGCTCCGCAACGGGAGAGGCCACAACAGTGAGAGGCTCGCGTAACGCAAAGAAAAAAATGTAGTCCTCAAGTGCCCAGACTCTGGAGCCAGAGCCTGAGTTTAAAAGTGTATTCTGCCACTTACTATATCACCTTGGGCAAGTTTCTTAACCATTTTGGGCTTTAGTTTCTTCATGATTAAGATGGGAATATAATGAGTTAATATGTATGCTTACGCAGACACACACACCACACATATGTATATACATTAACACACACACATATGTATATATATATGTTCATGTAAGTCCTCAGATTAATGCTTGGCGCTAATGAGCACCAGATAAGTGTCAGATACTGTTCTTGTTATGGGAAATGGATCTGAATTTAACTCCTGGGTAAATAGTCCTCACTAGAGAAATCAAGACAATAAAACCTGAGGTGCCAAATGCACCTCAATGGATTATTGATGTTTGTATTATTTGTTCAAAAAAGATTGTAGAAGGCAAGAAAGAGCATAACTCAATGGATAAACTAGTTAGGGTAAGCTAGTTACTTATATCTCTGGCCCTCAACTTCTTCATTCTGCAGAGAAGAGGTGATAAAAGACCTCCTTGATAGGGGTTCTTGAGGATCAAAGGAAATGAAGTATGCAAAGTGCTTGGCACAAAGCCTAGCTGAGAGTGAGCATTTAGGAAACGGGCACTGTTAAAGTTACAACTTGATTTTATTGCACTGACATCCTATATTTAGGTTTTGCTAAGACTGGAAAGGAAAATGCAGTTGATTTTGTGATTAAGTGTATTTTAGGATGTATCACCTGTTTATCTCAAAATGTATTTATGATTAACTCTTCATCCCTACCTCTACCTACCCCTCTATCTTTCCTTTTCTGTTTCACAGGAAAAATAATGACCTCGGCATCCAAAGGAATTCTCCGCCCATTTTTAATCGTCTGCATTATCCTGGGCTGCTTCATGGCATGTCTGCTCATTTACATCAAGCCCACCAACAGCTGGATCTTCAATCCGATGGAGTCAGCCAGCACTGTGCTGAAAATGAAAAATTTCTTCTCCACCAAAACTGATTATTTTAACGAAACTACGATTCTGATTTGGGTGTGGCCATTTGGGCAGACCTTTGACCTTACATCTTGCCAAGCAATGTTCAACATCCAAGGATGCCATCTCACGACGGACCGGTCCCTGTACAACAAATCGCATGCGGTTCTGATCCATCACCGAGACATCAGTTGGGATCTGACTAATTTACCTCAGCAGGCGAGGCCACCCTTCCAGAAATGGATTTGGATGAATTTGGAATCACCAACTCACACACCCCAGAAGAGCGGCATCGAGCACCTGTTCAACCTGACTCTGACTTATCGCCGCGACTCAGATATCCAAGTGCCTTATGGCTTCTTGACGGTGAGCACAAACCCCTTCGTGTTTGAAGTGCCAAGCAAAGAGAAGTTAGTGTGCTGGGTTGTAAGTAACTGGAACCCTGAGCATGCCAGGGTCAAGTATTACAATGAGCTAAGCAAAAGCATTGAAATCCATACCTATGGGCAAGCATTTGGAGAGTATGTGAATGATAAAAATTTGATTCCTACCATATCTACTTGCAAATTTTATCTTTCCTTTGAAAACTCAATCCACAAAGATTACATCACAGAAAAGCTCTACAATGCTTTTCTGGCTGGCTCTGTGCCTGTTGTTTTGGGGCCATCTAGGGAAAACTATGAGAATTATATTCCAGCAGATTCATTCATTCATGTGGAAGATTATAACTCTCCCAGTGAGCTAGCAAAGTATCTGAAGGAAGTAGATAAAAACAATAAATTATACCTTAGTTACTTTAACTGGAGGAAAGATTTCACAGTAAATCTTCCACGATTTTGGGAATCACATGCATGCTTGGCTTGTGACCATGTGAAAAGACATCAAGAATATAAATCCGTTGGTAATTTAGAGAAATGGTTTTGGAATTAAAGTTTTCCATCATTTGCACACTTGGCAAATTATTTTGATGAGATATTATTGAGGTTTTGAAGATGAGAAGAGACATCATTCAGCTTTTGTGTCATAATTTATTTGTATCACTCTCTCTTGGGTGACATATATATTTTGATGGAGATTTTTGAGAGCGCAGCCTCAGCAATCACTCCACTTGTTTTAAATTATCTTATATATACCTAATTATGTGCACTGAAAAATAATTTATTCTTCTCTATCATTTGTAAGCATTATTTTTTTCATATTTTTGTAGTTGTCTGTAATGTAACTTTGTGATTCGATTGTTGTTCCTACACTGATCAGTTGTTTAATCGATTTGGTAAATGAAGATGCACATCTTCAAATATGAAATATTTTCATTAAATATTATCATCTCTAGTTCCAAGTTGGCATAATGTAACAAAGGAAAAGCATTTGTAATTGAATTCTAACTTCTTTGACTTCGAAGTTGAACAGTGTATAACTGTCTTTATTTGATCTATTTTTTACCTGTTTACCACATTTGTGAATGCCACATTTGTGAATTATTCACTTAGTGAATAAGCCAGATAGTGGAGCAGAACTATTCTATTTGGGAAGCTATTAGGCTTTCCATTTATTTTCATTAAATTGACTTGCACATGCAGCCACTTGTTCTCATGATCTTAAGTTAAATTATTATGTATTTTTAAATATCCAATTTGTTGGGATTTTTAGTACCTGGGAAATAATCCTAGTAACACTTAAGAAAATCTAAGATAGTTTTCTTCCTGATCTTAACACTCCTTTTTATAATGAAACAAATAATCTTATCAAGTGACAAGGGAAAATGTTATGTATAGATACAAGTCATGTTTATAATTGGTACATTTATGCATCAATATAATTTTTAATAACATATCAATTTAAAATATTTTTTCCAAAGGTCCAATGTCTAAAACTATTTCGTTTCATCATATGAACATAATACGAGATGTTTGTCCTATCATTTAAAAGAACCTAAATAAAATTATTATCAAGGTGTTAAGTATAAGATGTTAAACATAATAAAATGGCGATCTGTAGGGAACACAGAGTGATATCTCAATGCATATTTGTTGAATTAATAAATGAATGACATTGAAAGTCATCAGAAAAGTTTTGTTTGTTCCAAAAAAGTGACAGTTCTAGCCTAGAGGTACTAACTGGAGATGATGTTTTATATTCCATTTTTGTAATTATTCATATGTGGCACATGTGACCATGGCCCTCAGGGTTTTACAGAACTAAAATAAACGTTCATTGTACTACGTTTTTGGAGAATTCGCCCCTGAACTTGCAGTTGCTGTACAGTGTTTCCCCTCCATAATGTTAAGGGCTGGATATAAACAGAGAACAGTGGGTGAGAAAAGATGGGAAGATAAGGATTCTTCAAAGAAAGCATTTACCAAAAGAATCTTTAGTGACTTTATTCTAAACCCATCAAAAGTGTTAGAACGTTCTGATGACATCTATTTGTGTCTATTTGTGGCTTAGTCTAATAATCCTCTACATGTTAACATCAGTAGAACTCAACTCCACAATTTTCTACATCAAATGGAAGTTAGAGAGAGAGGCAAATTTAAATTCAGAAAGCAGGAGCTATGTCCAACAATCCAGACTGCCTTGTGAGGGAATGAGCTCTTGGGACCACTAGAAGGATTTGAGCAGAGGAAGATTCCTACATTGGATGAAGGATTGTTTGACCTTCAGGTTCACTCCTTTACCCATGATTGAACAGGCTCCCTGTGTCAGGCAATGCCCTAACCAGAGATAAAGATGAACAGACCTGTTTCTGAGCCACATACTTTGTTTACTCATTTGACCTAATGGAAGATTACCTCCATATTATCTCTTCTAACCACACTGCATCCAGAAATGATGTCTGTGTAGATGCCCTCCTAGATAAGGAGAGATCTCCACCGCATTTATTTCATGATGTTCAAATAGTCAAATTCATACATTTATGTTTACTTTATTGTCTTTTTGGCCAACAAAAAGTATAGGGATCTGAAGAGGATGCATTACTAACCAATTTAGAAATACCTGCTTTCTTCAGAAGCAGAAATGCATTCAGTAAAAAGCCTTTGCTGTGGTGCGTGCTCATGATTTCAAAGAACCGAGAAACCTGAGGGCATTGCCTTTATTGTCAACTATGAATTTGGTCTCTTTCTCAGTGTGAGACTATAATTATATGCTGATAATATGACTGAAGCTAAGGCAATAATACTGAGTGACTAACTAGCACATCTGTATATTAAAAACCCATTACCAAGTCCCAGAAGAATAAGTTTTCTCAATATGAAGTACCAAAAATGAATGAGTCACCTTCAATTCTGGGTCCATTGATCAGTGAGTTTTAGGGCTGGAAGAAATTATAGCAATGTTTACAAACCAATCTCTTCGTTCTACTTATGAAACAACTAGATTCAGAGATAATATTTATTTAAGACATATGTTCACACACACACACACATACACACACATGGGCACACACACTCGTACACCCCACACCTATATTGACATAGCCAAGATTAGAATTAAAGGGTACTATCTCTCTTGATCCTGTTTTCTTCTTCACTGTATTCTCACCTTATCATTGAAGTACATCTCAATTCTAAAAATGTGAATGCCTTATTGGTGTTATTAGGGCCTGTAGAATGTTACACTCTCTGTGGAAGCACTTTGACTTTTGAAAAAGTATACATAAGGTAAATAAAACATGAAACTTGTTCGCATTCTTTCTGGTTTAAATATTTTAGGAGTTGAGCTTTAGTAGAAGGAAATGGGCTTTCACTACATTTGAAGTGAAATGCAACCCTCAAGATGGTTCTGTTTCTCTGCCACTTCTTTAATAAATCCTGTGGATTGCAATTTTTTAAGGATATCACGTGGTGAAAGATAAATATTTGACAAGATTGGCTTGCTGCTGGTTACAAAAACAAACAAATTTTGCCAGGAGGTAGATTGTGAATATAAAAAAAGAACAGACCACTTAAAAAGTTTTATTTAAAAATATCAAAAACCTTTTACTTTCAATGGTCTGAATATTTAAATGTTATTTATTGCAGGCCTTACTAGTAAGAATATATAAATATAATTATTATAGGCCTTATTAATAAGAACATATACTAAATTCTCCATATCTAGCAGTATGTCATGTCTGAAAAAAAAAGACATGACAGTCGTAGTTTATGACAGCCATAAATATAACAATATGAAGTAGAAACTGAAAAAGTTATCTAACTAGGAATCCCCTATCAGCTTCAAAATTGTATATTTACTATACAAATTCTGATAATCCCAGAATGTGCAGAAATATCTTCTGTTGGGAGGGCTTAGAAAGCTCAGAGTATCTGAGGTATAAATTGACCAACTATTTAGAAATTATTTGCTGAGCCTTTATATTCTTGCCTCCAGTTGGAGGTTAAATATGGAAAGAATAGGAAACTCTACTATTGAGATCTTTTTGCCTGCCAATTTTCAGACTAGATTCCATTGAGTCTTAAAGGCAATCACCCAGAAAATGTCTCTGCATGAATTAATGTTACCAAAACAAGGTTTAGATCCTTACATTATGACTTCGTGCTTAATCATATCTTTGAGTGCCCTTAAACTCTATCTCATTGAAGGGAACTTCTTAATAAATTAATTGTAATCAAGCTGTTAAACAAAATAAATTTTAGAATCTAAAAGATAAATCCAGTGCCTAACCCAGAGGAGGATCTCAACAAATTCTTGTTGAATGAATAAACAGATTGCATTAGAGATCATGCAAAATATTTTGTAAAGTGTGATAACAGTTCCAGCTTCTTGGTACCCGTTAGACATGATGTATTTGTTTCATTGGTCATTTTGCTGCCTGGATGAAAAGGAAGGCATTTTATGTCTTTCCAGGCTTACTGCATTCTAAGACCCCAAAGAAGTAACATTTCTAGAAAGATTAAAAAGAATTTGCAACATGTTAACAGTCTATTCAAATATTAACATACCAACTGTTTCTAATAGAAAAGAAACAAGTAGCATTTAAGAAGAATATAAAGTGCAAGCACTGTAGGGGGCACATATTTATTACCAAACTATGCATGGGGAGAAATATCTTTTCTTTCCTCCCGAACTAACACTTCTTTGTATTGCAAACATCAGTCAATTAAGATGGTATTTTTTTTCCGGACATCTCTCATCTGGAGATTTTGTAGCATTTTGCAAATGGATAAGCTCCACTACTACCAAAAGTGTTCTTCCTCTTAGTAATTCATATTGAATGCATCCATATCCGTAAGCATTATATAGAGCAGTTTACAACATAAATGAGAGATAGCCTGCTAAACCAGAAATATGAGTAATGCTAGGCTGGGTTATTTATTCAAAAAGCTGTAATTTTGAGAAAGCCACTTAACCTCTCTGGACCTTGTTTTTTGTATGTTCCTTTTAGCACTGTTACTCTCTCATCTAAGATCTAAATTGATATATGCGCGTATTTGCAAATGCACTTCCAACGACCATCACAAAATAATATTTAGGAGGTAAATATTCCAACAGATTTCCCTCTTATTTCTCTGAATAGACAAGTAAAGTATAAAACTCATTATTAATCAGATATTTGGAAAGAGCCTAATCCAGTGAATATAGCAAATGCTCAGTTAACTAACCCTCCTCCTTTAACTCCTTCTGCCCCTTAGTTCTCTACCTACTTCCTTTGCAATTCATGTACTCACCTACGCACTGAGATCTTAATTGCCTGCAGAAAAATAAGCATATATTGAACATTATTTTAAAATATTTTAAATTTTTCTACACCATCCACATTCCTATTACAATTATCTGAAAATTTTTATTTATGCAAACATTTCAGGGAGGTAGTGGAGGCGCACAGTCAATCCCCAGATGATAGTAAAATGGGGAGTCTAATTAGAGTAAGCCAGATTGAACACATCTGGACAATTCAGTTACTTTTTAAACTCACAGCTAATATATATTTATTCATTTGAT